GACTTTAGCTATTCTATTCCAGAGGAGATGAAACGCGGATCGGTGGTCGGACATCTAGTTAAGGATCTGGGGCTGGATGCTAAGAGACTTTCAGGTCGTAAAGCTCGTTTGGATATGGATGGTAGTCGTCAACGTTACTGTGACATTAATCTGAATACTGGAGATTTAGTTGTGGCTGAAACAATAGACAGGGAGGAGCTGTGTGGACCGAAAGTGTCTTGTTCTTTAAAATACGAGCTTGTGCTGGAAAAACCTATGGAATTACATCGCATAACTGTACAAATACAAGATATAAACGACAATTCACCACGGTTTCCCAATGCACGTGTTGATCTAGAAATTCGGGAATCTGCTGTCAAAGGTTCACGATACCCCTTGGAGGAGCCTCATGACTCTGACATAGGATTAAATGGTATACAAAGCTATTCACTGGAGAGGAATGCCTATTTTATTTTGGACGTTCAAACGAGCTCAGACGGAGGAAAATATGGCGAGTTAGTGTTAGAAAAAGAGCTAGATCGAGAACAACAACAAGAGGTGACGTTATTACTTACCGCGGTTGATGGTGGGACTCCACAGAGATCTGGTACTGTAGTTATACACGTCACTGTGTTGGATGCTAACGATAATAAACCAGTGTTTAGCCAGACAGTGTATAAAGTAAGTTTGCCTGAAAATTGTCCAACAGGGACTGTTGTAGTTGCAGTTAGTGCTACTGATGAAGACGAAGGAGCAAATGGAGAAGTATCATATGAGTTCAATCGTATTTCCGATAAAGCAGCTAAACTGTTTTGCATCGACAAAAAGACTGGCGAGATTAAAGTGCAGGGTCCCATAGATTATGAAGAAAATACCGAATACGAAGTGCGTGTCCAGGCAAAAGATGGGTCTGGCTTAGCTGGCAATGCAAAAGTAATGATAGAAATCACAGACCTAAATGACAACACACCGGTGATATTGATCAAATCCTTTAACAATCCCATCCCTGAGAATGTGTTACCTGGTACAGAGGTGGGGATCATTAATGTACAAGATGAAGATTCAGAGGGAAATAGACAGGTCCGCTGCTCCATTCAACAAAATGTTCCTTTCAAATTAAATCCCTCAATCAAAAACTATTATTCTCTGAAAACAACAGGTGAACTAGACCGTGAGATAATATTAGATTATAACATAACTATCACTGCCACTGACGAGGGGTTTCCACCTTTATCCTCCTCAACGACTATTCATTTATCTGTGTCAGACGTGAATGACAACCCTCCTGTGTTTGAAAAACAGTCCTACATCGCCTATGTGACTGAAAATAAGAAGACTGGCTCCTCTATGTGTTCTGTTACTGCCAGAGACCCAGACTGGAGACAGAACGGCACAGTGGTCTATTCTCTATTGCCCAGTGAGGTCAACGATGTTCCGGTGTCCTCATTTTTATCCATCAACGGAGACACAGGGGTGATCCATGCTGTGAGAGCATTTGATTTTGAGCAGTTTAGGAGCTTCAAAGTCCACATTGTAGCCAGAGACAATGGTTCTCCACTCAGCAGTAATGTGACTGTGAGTGTCTTCATAACAGATGAGAATGATAACTCTCCCCAGATATTATACCCTGCTCCAGCAGGGAACTCCTTGATGACTGAGATGGTCCCCAAAGCTGCTCTGGCGGTGTCCCTGGTTTCCAAGATGATAGTTGTTGATGCTGACAACGGAAAAAATGGGTGGATTTCATATTAGATCGTGAAATCGACTGATCCAGGACTTTTTACTATTGTTCTTCACAGACGAGATATCAGGCCAAAGTGGGACATTTCTGAATCAAATCACATCAAATCAAATGATAGTTGTCACATGCGCCAAATTCAACAGGTGTACCGTGAAATGCTTACTTACAAGCCCTTAACCAACAATGCAGTTCAAGAAATAGAGTTAAGAAATAAACTAAAGTAAAAAATAAAATATGAAGTAACACAATAAAATGACAATAGCGAGGCTATATACAGGTGGTACCGGTACCGAATCAATGTGCGGGGGTACAGGTTAGGCGAGGTAATTTGTACATGTTGATGGGGGGGGGGGTCAATGTAAATAGTCCGGGTGGCCATTTGATTAATTTTTCAGCAGTCTTATGGCTTGGGGGAGCCTTGGGGGTACCGCTTGCCATGCGGTAGCAAAGAGAACAGTCTATGACTCCGGTGACTGGAGTCTTTGACAGTTTCTTGGGCCTTCCTCTAACACCGCCTAGGATATAAGTCCTGGATGGCAGGAAGCTTGGCCCCAGTGATGTACTGGGCCATTCGCACTACCCTCTGTAGCGCCTTACGGTCGAATGCCGAGCAGTTGCTATACCAGGCGGTGATGCAACCAGTCAGGATGCTCTCGATGGTGAAGCTGTATAACTTTTTGAGGATCTGAGGACCCATGCCAAATCTTTTCAGTCTCATGAAGGGGAAAAGGTGTTGTTGTGCCCTCTTCATGACTGTCTTGGTGTGTTTGGACCATGATAGTTTGTTGGTGATGTGGACACCTAGGAACTTGAACCTCTCGACCCGCTCCACTACAGCCCAGTCGATGAATGGGTGCATGTTCATCCCTCCTTTTTCTGTGGTCCACGATCAGCTCCTTTGTCTTGCTCACTTTGAGGGAGAAGTTGTTGTCCTGGCACTACACTGCTTGGTCTCTGACCTCCTCCCTATAGGCTGTCTCATCGTTGTCGGTGATCAGGTTTACCACTGTTGTGTCGTCAGCAAACTTAATGATGGTGTTGGAGTCGTGCTTGGTCACGCAGTTGTGGGTGAACAGGGAGTACAGGAGGGGACTAAGCACACACCCCTGAGGGGACCCCGTGTTGAGGATCAGTGTGGCAGATGTGTTGTTGCCTGCCCTTACCACCTGTGGGCACCCCGTCTGGAAGTCCAGGATCCAGTTGCAGAGGGAGGTGTTTATTCCCAGGGTCCTTAGTTTAGTGATGAGTTTTGTGGGCACTATGGTGTTGAATGCTGAGCTGTAGTCAATGAACAGCATTCTCACATAGGTGTTCCTTTTGTCCAGGTGAGAAAGGGCAGTGTGGAGTGCGATTGAGATTGCGTCATCTGTGGATCTGTTGGAGCGGTATGCGAATTGGAGTGGGTCTAGGGTTTCCAGGATGATGGTGTTGATGTGAGCCATGACCAGCCTTTCAAAGCACTTCATGGCTACTGACGTGAATGCTATGTGGCGGTAATCATTTAGGCAGGTTACCTTCGCTTTCTTGGGCACAAGGACTATGGTGGTCTGCTTGAAACATGTAGGTATTACAGAGTCAGTCAGGGAGAGGTTGAAAATGTCAGTGAAGACACTTGCCAGTTGGTCCACGCATGCTCTGAGTACACGTCCTGGTAATCTGTCTCGCCGAATCTGACAGAATGAAGCGGAGCCTTGATATATCAGTGAAAGATAAGGGACAGCACTCTCTCTCTCCACAAGTTGTGATGTGTATTTACTCACATCAGATAACTTGGCTGAAGATCCAGAACTGAAAGACATGGCTTATGAGGACAGTTCTAACTTCCTATCTGATCATCGCACTGGTCTCTGTTTCCCCTTTTTTTCTGACTTTCATTATTCTCATCCTGGCGGTGAGGTTCTGCCGTAGGAGAAAGCCTAGAATGATGTTTGATGGAGCAGTCGCCATTCCCAGTGCATATTTCCCTTCCAACTATGCAGAGGTGGAAGGAGCTGGAACTCTCTGTAGTTCTTACAATTATGATGACGCACACCTGACCACTGGATCACGCACTAGTGACTTCAAGTTTGTCAGATCTGACAATGACAGCACGCGTCCTGTTGATCTTACACTGAAGAGGTGTCAAATTGAGTGTTTAGGAGAAAGTATGCTCACTCTTAAAGACGCGGGGCAGTCTGATGTGAGAAATTAAGCCTACATACAAAAAAAGGCTTAAAAAAGGCTGCATAAAGTGTTTTCATTCTCCATCTTTTGATAACGTCATACAGTCCTATATGTTTCGCTCTGAACTTTTATCGTTTGTTCTTCTTGACACAACATCGCGTATACTGAGCGTTTTTAATATAGTCATTATGCCTACAGCTGATATTGTGAAAGACTCAGATTTTGGAGTTTCAGTGGTTATTCTCTGTTTTGGGTGTGAGATCGAAAGACTGCTGAATGACTCGTTATAAGTATAATTACATTCGTTTTTTACTCCCATATTTCTTCACCATTTGCTTAGCATACTATTTTAGTATGCTTGGAAATTATTTCACTTCAATAATGTCTACCTGTCAAGACATCAATATTGTGTACACATTTTCTAGCACGGTTAGACTGTAGTCTACATTTTTTTTTATCTATTAGCCTACTTCAGTTATTCTTAGGCCTACGTACTTGTTTCAAGGAAACACGTTTCAGCACCGTGATGTGTGGACAGCACCACTGCATTGCAGCACTGATATGTGGGATATGAAGTTGGGTTGTGAATAAAAGTTGTTATAATTATCTTATTTGTATTTTAGATAAAGGTGTTGCATTGTGTGTGTGCATTTAGTCTGAGAAGTGAATCAAGTGTTTTGACATTGGATGCGTTAATTATTTTTATTTTTTATTTTTTATTTTAGAATCAAGTCTGGGCAGCTGATGTGAGTATGCTTATTTCCAAGATATTTTCCGTGTGTATTTACATCTTTGTTTATGCCAACTAAGACAAAAAATATAGAGAGTTTGTTATTCTCTGCTTATTATAGGCCTACTTGTGATTGCAGTTTTGGAAAAGTACTCCATGTGTCGCTATTCACCAGCTAAAGCCATTCGATATATTTCCCAACCCATTCCCGCTGCATTAGCAAAGGGAGAGACTAATTTTATAACAGTGTAGGCTAGCGAAAGATCACATCCCTTGGACGAACGTAACACTTAGGCCTGTTGACTAAGTTGCTTTTATCGTTTCTCTCTTTCAAATAGTTTGCATTTGACCACTGCATAATATTGGAATAACCTTTGTTCTTTGAAAATGGAATATAAGGGATTCTCGTTCTCTGCCTCGAATTTCTTCCTGGCTTTGTTTCTTTTCCTGCTGCGCACCAGCTATGGAGACGTGACCTATTCTTTTCCGGAAGAGATGAAACGCGGATCTGTGATCGGGAATATAGGCAAGGATCTCGGATTGGATCCAAAACGACTGTCCGTTCGAAAAGCTCGCCTAGAAATGGATGGTAGTAGCACACTCTATTGTGACATTAACCTAATCACTGGCGACCTGATTGTTGCTGAGAGAATGGACAGGGAGCAGCTCTGTGGCAGAAGGGTTTCGTGTGTATTGAAATATGAAATGGTGCTCGAGAATCCTTTAGAATTACACCGCGTCGTTCTTCAGATACAAGATATTAATGACAATTCACCACAATTCGCGAACGATCGTATTACGTTTGAGATCAGAGAATCGGCAGCTAAAGGCGCCCGATTTGTGGTTAATCAGGCTCACGATGCAGATATAGGACTGAACGCCGTTCAAAGGTACACACTACAAAGGAACAGCCATTTCAGTTTGGCATTGCATACCAATCCTGGTGGGGTAAAATATGGCGAGTTAGTATTAGAGAAAGAACTGGATAGAGAAAAAGAGCAGGAGGTGACGTTATTACTTACTGCGGTTGATGGTGGGACTCCACAGAGATCTGGTACTGTAGTTATACACGTTACTGTGCTGGATGCTAATGACAATATTCCAGTGTTTAGGCAGAACGTTTATAAGGTCAGTCTGCCCGAAAATTCTCCCTTTGGCACTGTAGTAGTTACTGTAAGCGCCACAGATGCTGACGAGGGACAAAATGGGGACGTGATGTATGAATTCGGCCCCATCTCTAATGAATTGAATGACTTGTTTTCTCTTGACCCCAAAACTGGAGACATCAGCATAGCAGGACAGGTGGATTTCGAAAAGGAGTCGATATATGAATTGAGTATCCAAGCCAAAGATGGCTCAGGTTTGACATCCTTTGCCAATGTGGTCATAGAAATTAAAGATGTGAATGACAATGCACCAATAATATATATCAAATCCCTTAGCAATCCAATCCCTGAGAATGTTTTACTTGGTACAGAGGTGGGCATCATTAATGTACAGGATAAAGACTCTGGGGGAAATAGACAGGTCCGCCTCTCCATTCAACAAAATGTTCCATTCAAATTAAACCCCTCGATCAAAAACTATTATTCTCTGGTAACAACTAGTGAACTAGACCGTGAGATAATATCAGATTATATCATAAATATCACTGCCACTGACGAGGGGTCTCCACCCTTATCCTCCTCAAAGACTATTCATTTATCTGTGTCAGACGTGAATGACAACCCACCTGTGTTTGAAGAACAATGCTACAGCTCCTATGTGACTGAGAATAACAAGCCTGGCTCCTCTATGTGTTCTGTTACTGCCAGAGACCCAGACTGGAGACAGAACGGCACAGTGGTCTATTCTCTATTGCCCAGTGAGGTCAACGGTGTTCCGGTGTCCTCATTTTTATCCATCAACGGAGACACGGGGGTGATCCATGCTGTGAGAGCATTTGATTATGAGCAGTTTAGGAGCTTCAAAGTCCACGTTGTAGCCAGAGACAATGGTTCTCCTCCACTCAGCAGTAACGTGACTGTGAATGTCTTCATAACAGATGAGAATGATAACTCTCCCCAGATATTATACCCTGCTCCAGCAGGAAACTCCTTAATGACTGAGATGGTCCCCAAAGCTGCTCTGGCGGGGTCCCTGATTTCCAAGGTGATAGCTGTGGATGCTGACTCTGGACAGAATGCGTGGCTTTCATATCAGATCGTAAAATCGACTGATCCGGGAATTTTCACTATTGGTCTCCACAGCGGAGAGATCAGGGCACAGCGGGACATTTCTGAATCTGACAGTATGAAGCAGAACCTTGTTATATCAGTGAAAGATAACGGACAGCCCTCTCTCTCTACAACCTGTGATGTATATTTACTCATATCAGACAACTTGGCTGAAGTTCCAGAACTGAAAGACATTACTTATGAGGACAGTTCCAATCTAACTTCCTATCTGATCATTGCACTGGTCTCTGTCTCCACCTTTTTTCTGACTTTCATTATTCTCATCTTGGCCGTGAGGTTCTGTCGGAGGAGAAAGCCTAGAATTATGTTTGATGGAGCAGTTGCCATTCCCAGCGCGTATTTCCCTCCCAACTATGCAGAGGTGGACGGAGCTGGAACTCTGCGTAGTTCTTATAATTATGATGCATACCTGACAACGGGCTCACGCACCAGTGACTTCAAGTTTGGCAGATCTTATAATGACAGCACGCTGCTGGCTGATCAGACACTGAAGAAGAATCTAAATGAACCTTTTGGAGAAAACATAATCACGTCCAACACCGTGGGTGATTGTGAGGTGAGATTTCACAGCATGTGAAAAACTGAAATGCTTTTGATCCAGTTGTGCATATATGAAGCTGTGTAACTATCCATGTGCATATATCCTATGAAGCAGTGTAACTATCGTTTTGCATACCCTATGAAGCTCTGTAACTTTCGTTGTGCATACACCATGAAGCTCTGTAACTATCGCTGTGCATACCCCATGAAGCTGTGTAACTATCGTTGTGCATACCCCATGAAGCTGTGTAACTATCGGTTTCTTGTTGATCTTGTGCTCTTTTCATAGTTAAAGTTTTTAGTTATGTAGCCTATTCATACTTCTTCCCCCTCTTCTTGCTATATCATTATTCTCAGTTGTAGGCTAATCTTATTTCACAAGTGTTTACTCTTTGTACCTCGAAACGGCTTCTCTCTAATTTGATTCAGTGCCATTTTGTCACTAATATTCTGAGAATGTATTCATACCAACCATCATCCGATTTCAATGTGACCCAGTAGCCAACAACACAGGTAGGCCAGTTTCAGCACCATGGACAGCGCCCCTTTCGGCATTTAGTCTGTCTCCACACTGCAAACAAAAACTGCAATGAGTGAAAGGCGTGAGATATGTTTGAATACGTAAGTTAATTTTGAATGCATATTTTTTTTCCTGTAATGATATTTGGAAATACTTTGTGGACTTTATATTTTGAAGGTTGCGGTTACTTTACGTTGTTTATCAGGCCAAACAGCATTTGATTCGATTTAAATGTTGTTGCCTCGTATGGGCTCAGCTAGGACGGCAAGAGGTTCGTTGAAAATTCAGTTTTCAAGAACATGCATTTAGAACGGTATTTTTTGACATAATGTGATATTTAAAATTTTATCTATGAACATAATTTACCCCTGCATAGTTTTGTTTTCGAATGCGTGGCAGCCTTTCCTCGATAAATTTGGTTGTAGACTTAAACATGCTTTTCTGCAGTTTTGTGAAACTACACGTAGTGTCGCTATTCACCAGCAATAGCTTTTAAGTATTTCTCTCCACCCATTTGTATAATTTAAAGGGAGGAGACCTCATATTTTCAGTGTAAGGGAAGTCGCTTGCTTAACATGTTATAGGCTAGTGGATTTAGCTTTCAGCCGTTATGGACGTTTGTTTGGTTGGATAGCGCTATAATTTACCACACCATTGCATCGGGAATACGTTGTATTAACTGAAAATGGAATGCAAAGGATTCTCTGCCTCGATGTTCTGCATGGCTTGGTTTATTTTCCTACTGCCTACCAGCTATGGAGACGTGACCTATTCTGTTCCGGAGGAGCTGAAAAGCGGATCTGTGATCGGAAATATAGCCAAGGATCTGGGGCTGGATGCAAAACGAATAATGTATCGAAAAGCTTGCTTAGACGCTGATGGTAGCAGGAAACGCCATTGTGAAATCGATCTGAATACTGGTGATTTGGTCGTTGCTGAAATAATGGAGAGGGAACACCTTTGCGGTAGAAGGATTTCATGCAACCTAAAATATGAGATGGTTCTGGAGAATCCTTTAGAATTACATAACATAATTCTGCAGGTACAAGATATTAATGATAATGCTCCACAATTCTTGGAAGATGTGATGCAGTTGGATATCACAGAGTCAGCGGTTAAAGGGGCTCGGTTTGCGGTTAACCAGGCTCATGATGCAGATATAGGGCTGAATTCTGTTCAAAGCTACACAATACAAAAGAACGACCATTTTAGTCTGGCGGTTCATACCATTCCCGGTGGGGGGAAGTATGGCGAGTTAGTGTTAGAGAAGGAATTAGATCGAGAACAACAACAGGAGGTAACATTATTACTTACTGCGGTTGACGGTGGGACTCCACAGAGATCTGGTACTGTAGTTATACACGTTACTGTGTTGGATGCTAACGATAATAAACCAGTGTTTAGCCAGAATGTCTATAAGGTCAGTGTACCTGAAAATTCTCCAATAGGGTCATTAGTGGTTACCGTGACGGCAACAGATGCAGACGAGGGGGCAAATGGAGAGGTGACGTACGGATTTGGCTCCATCTCAGATGAAGTGTATCAATTATTTTCCCTTAATCCCAAAACAGGTGATATTAATGTAGCTGGATTTCTGGATTACGAAAATGAGTCAATTTATGAATTAAGTATTCAAGGCAAAGACAACTCAGGGCTGACGTAATTTGTCAACGTAGTTGTTGATATTAAAGATGTGAATGATAATGCACCAATAATATTTATCAAATCTCTTAACAATCCCATCCCTGAGAACGTGTTAGCTGGTACAGAGGTGGGTATCATTAATGTACAGGATAAAGACTCGGAGGGAAATAGACAGGTCAGCTGCTCCATTCAACAAAATGTTCCTTTCAAACTAAACCCCTCAATCAAAAACTATTATTCTCTGATAACAACAGGTGAACTAGACCGTGAGATAATATTAGATTATAACATAACTATCACTGCCACTGACGAGGGGTCTCCACCTTTATCCTCCTCAAAGACTATTCATTTATCTGTATCAGACGTGAATGACAATCCACCTGTGTTTGAAGAACAATCCTACAGCTCCTATGTGACTGAAAATAACAAGCCTGGCTCCTCAATGTGTTCTGTTACTGCCAGAGACCCAGACTGGAGACAGAAAGGCACAGTGTCTATTCTCTATTGCCCAGTGAGGTCAACGGTGTTCGGGTGTCCTCATTTTTATCCATCAACGGAGACACGGGGGTGATCCATGCTCTGAGAGCATTTGATTATGAGCTGTTTAGGAGCTTCCAATTCTACATTGTAGCCAGAGACAATGGTTTTCCTCCACTCAGCAGTAACGTGACTGTGAGTGTCTTCATAACAGATGAGAATGATAACTCTCCCCAGATATTATACCCTGCTCCAGCAGGGAACTCCTTGATGACTGAGCTCGTCCCCAAAGGTGCTCTGGTGGGGTCCCTGGTTTCCAAGGTGATAGCTGTGGATGCTGACTCTGGACAGAATGCGTGGCTTTCATATCAGATTGTGAAATCGACTGATCCGGGACTTTTCACTATTGGTCTCCACAGCGGAGAGATCAGGGCACAGCGGGACATTTCAGAATCTGACAGTATGAAGCAGAACCTTGTAATATCAGTGACAGATAATGGACAGCCCTCTCTCTCTACAACCTGTGATATGTATTTACTCATATCAGATAGCTTGGCTGAAGTTCCAGAACTGAAAGACATGGCTTATGAGGACAGTTCGAAGCTAACTTCCTATTTGATCATCGCACTGGTCTCTGTCTCCACCTTTTTCCTGACTTTCATTATTCTCATCCTGGCCGTGAGGTTCTGCCATAGGAGAAAGCCTCGAATGATGTTTGATGGAGCAGTCGCCATTCCCAGTGCATATTTCCCTCCCAACTATGCAGAGGTGGACGGAGCTGGAACACTGCATAGTTCTTATAATTATGACGCATATCTGACAACGGGCTCATGCACCAGTGACTTCAAGTTTTTCAGATCTTACAATGACAGCACGCTGCCTGCTGATCCTACGCTAAAGAGGAATCAAATTGAGTGTTTGGGAGAAAGTATAATCACTCTTAACGATGTGGGCGAGTCTGAGGTGAGATATGAAGCATGCATGTAATAGTTCACAAAAAGCTTTATGATATTCCATAACAATTGTCATGCATTGTCCTGTGACAGATTTGGATAAGGTCATTAAGTTTTAAGTGACCATAGCTATATGTTTTACTCTGAACTTCTATTGTTAGTTATGGTTGACACCACATTGCTTACACTGAGATAAGCTTGGCATTAGGCCTTCAGCTGATGACATTGTTAAGTCGAGGACTCAGATGTTGGAGAGTTGCATTTACAGTAGATCTTCTCTATTTTGGGTTTTGAGATCGGTACACTGTAAAAATATGATTCTGGGGTGAATTGAAATGTACAAAAAAAGCATATACTTCATAAAAATGAGTTCAAGTCGTTTTAATGATTTGTTAATTTAATTTGACAAAAAAATACATACATATATTTTATGAGGATGACCAAATAAATAGAAAAATTGAGTGATTTAATTTACTACATTTCAATAAATGGAGTAAATTTTAATAACAATAATAATATTTCTCTCAATTTAATAATTTTAAGTTCTTGCAACAACCTGCCGGTTTTTAGAGGATTGTGGGAAATTCAACATTTTAATGACAGAGGCAAATTCATCATCACACAATAATTGCAGTTCTACCTCCAGCTACTGCAGGTGGATTGAACACTCAGCTCGACATTGCCTGTCAAAGTGGATTAAAATGGTAAATGATCAAATACATTAAACAATGTTAAACACCAAGTGTTTTTGAAAGACTAATACTGTATGTTGTGTTTACTAAATATTTGTGTGATATCAACTCATATTTAATCATGTTATCAGTAAATCCAACACATTGTTATGGCTTTTATTAATTCCCTGGATTTACTTTATTTGTGTAAATCCAAACAATTTATTTAAAACATTTAGTCAAAAACATAGGAAGTTACATCTACTAATAATATTAAATGTCTTCTTGTTGCCCTAATTTTTAAAGTAGATTCAACACTTCATTTTGTACAGTGTACTATATAAGTACATTCCTTTTTACTCCATATTTCTTTACCACTTCCTTCCTTACCATGGTATTTTAGCATGCTGGGAAATTCTTTCACTTAAATAATGTCTACCTCTCATACATCAATATTGTGTAGCATACTTATTGCCTAGCATGGTTACTTAGCCTACGTTCTGTGATCTATTAGCCTACTTCTGTTATTAGCCCTAAGTAAGTTTCAAGAGAACACGTTTCAGAACCTTGATGTGGACAGCGCCACTGCATTACACAGCATTTATATGTGTGATATGAAGTTGGGTTGTGAATACCAGTGAATTATTTGATAGTGGACTACTTGTTATTTCAGATAAAGGCGTTTTGATTTTTGTGTGAGAAGTGAATCAAGTCTTTTGACATTGGATGAGTTGTTATGGTGAATTTAACTTTCGTTATTTGAGAATCAATTGGGGCAGCTGATGTGAGTAGGGGCATATAGGCTTATTTCCTAGAGACTTTCAGTGTGTGCTTGCATCTTTGTTTTACTAAACTAACAAATATTATCAGTTGGTAACACTCAGGAAAGTTTTATTCTCTGATTTTTGTAGGCCGACTTGTGATTGCAGTTTTGGAAAAGTACTCCATGTGTCGCTATTCACCAGCTAAAGCCATATTTCCCAAACCATTCCTGCAGTAGGCTATAGGCAAAGGGGAGAGACTAATTTTAATACAGTGTAGGCAAGCGAAGGATCCCATCACTTGGTAGAACGTAACACGTATTGACCCAGTCGCTTTTTTCATCCCCCCCCCACCACTTAAAATAGATTGTTTGATCACCGTACTATTGGAATAACCTTTGGTATCTGAAAATGGAATGTAAAATATTGTCGTTCTCTGCATCGATGTTGGCTTTGTTTCTTTTCCTGCTGCGAACCAGCTATGGAGACGTGACCTATTCTTTTCCGGAGGAGATGAAACGCGGATCTGAGATCGGAAATATAGCCAAGGATCTCGGACTGGATCCAAAAGGACTGTCTGTTCGGAAAGCTCGCCTAGAAATGGATGGTAGCAACACATTCTATTGTGACATTAACCTGAGCACTGGCGACCTGGTTGTTGCTGAGAGAATGGACAGGGAGCAGCTCTGTGGAAGAAGGGTTTCGTGTGTATTGAAATATGAAATGGTGCTCGAAAATCCTTTAGAATTACACCGCGTCGTTCTTCAGATACAAGATATTAATGACAATTCACCACAATTCGCGAACGATCGTATTACGTTTGAGATCAGAGAATCGGCAGATAAAGGCGCTCGATTTGCGGTCCATCAGGCTCATGATGCAGATATAGGACTGAACGCTGTTCAAAGCTACACACTACAAAGGAACGACCATTTTAGTTTGGCCGTTAATACGAAACCTGGTGGGGGAAAGTATGGGGAGTTAAAGTTAGAAAAAGAGTTAGATCGAGAACAACAGCAGGAGGTGACTTTATTACTTACCGCGGTTGATGGTGGGACTCCACAGAGATCTGGTACTGTAGTTATACACGTCATTGTGCTGGATGCTAATGATAATGTCCCAGAATTTAGCCAGAACATCTATAAGGTCAGTATACCTGAAAATGCTCCCCTGGGTACAGTTGTAGTGACTGTAAGTGCCACAGATGTTGACGAGGGACAAAATGGTGAAGTGATGTATGTATTTGGCCCCATTTCAGATGAATTGAATGAATTATTTTCTCTAGACCCTAAAACGGGTGACATTACTTTATCTGGACAGATGGACTTCGAAAAGGAGTCTGTTTATGAAATGAGCATACAGGCCCAGGACAGTTTGGGGTTGACGTCCTTTGCCAACGTTGTCGTCGAGATTACAGATGTAAATGACAATGCCCCGGTTATATCTCTTAAATCTTTGACCAATCCCATCCCTGAGAATGTGTTACCTGGCACAGAGGTGGGGATAATTAATGTACAGGATATAGATTCGGAGGGAAATAGACAGGTCCGCTGCTCCATTCAACAAAATGTTCCGTTCAAACTTAACCCTTCTATTCAAAAATATTATTCTCTGGTCACAACAGTTGAACTAGACCGTGAGATAATATCAGATTATAACATAACTATCACTGCCACTGACGAGGGGTCTCCACCTTTATCCTCCTCAAAGACTATTCATTTATCTGTGTCAGACGTGAATGATAATCCACCTGTGTTTGAAGAACAATCCTACAACGCCTACGTGACTGAAAATAACAAGCCTGGCTCCTCTACGTGTTCTGTGACTGCCAGAGACCCAGACTGGAGACAGAACGGCACAGTGGTCTATTCTCTATTGCCCAGTGAGGTCAACGGTGTTCCAGTGTCCTCATTTTTATCCATCAACGGAGACACGGGGGTGATCCATGCTGTGAGAGCATTTGATTATGAGCTGTTTAGGAGCTTCAAAGTCCACGTTGTAGCCAGAGACAATGGTTCTCCTCCACTCAGCAGTAACGTGACTGTGAGTGTCTTCATAACAGATGAGAATGATAACTCTCCCCAGATATTATACCCTGCTTCAGCAGGGAACTCCTTGATGACTGAGATGGTCCCCAAAGCTGCTCTGGCGGGGTCCCTTGTTTCCAAAGTGATAGCTGTAGATGCTGACTCTGGACAGAATGCGTGGCTTTCATATCAGATTGTGAAATCGACTGATCCAGAACTTTTCACTATTGGTCTCCACAGTGGAGAGATCAGGGCACAGCGGGACATTTCTGAATCTGACAGTATGAAGCAGAACCTTGTTATATCAGTGAAAGACAACGGACAGCCCTCTCTCTCTACAACCTGTGATGTATATTTACTTATATCAGACAACTTGGCTGAAGTTCCAGAACTGAAAGACATTACTTATGAGGACAGTTCCAAATGGACAAAATTTTTAATCATCGCACTAGTCTCTGTTTCTACCTTTTTCCTGACTTTCATTATTCTCATCTTGGCCATGAGGTTCTGCAGTAGGAGAAAGCCTACGATGTTGTTTGATGGAGCAGTCGCCGTTCCCAGTGCCTATTTCCCTCCCAACTATGCAGAGGTGGATGGAGCTGGAACGCTACGTAGTTCTTACAACTATGATGCATACCTGACAACGGGCTCACGCACAAGTGACTTCAAGTTTGTCAGATCTTACAATGACATCACGCTACCTGCTGATCTTACACTGAAGAAGAGTCAAATTGAGTGTTTGGGAGAAAGTATAATCACTCTTAACGACGCGGGGAATACTGAGGTGAGATTAGAAGCCTATTTTCAGTATTGATTGACCTTTTATGTTAACAAATGTATTGAGATGACCACAAGTCTGTCAGATGTTTGAATGTGATCACTGTGTTGTTGGCTTATCAGACACTGCAACGTTTTTTAATTGACTGAATTCAGGAGGCTCCACTGGTAATATGTGCATTCCAAGCAGAATAAACAGGCTACATCCCCCTATGGTTTTTGGCGAGGGATTAAACAATAATTGTACTAAAGTGTCTAATGCCAGGACATGATGCCATATCTACAGACTTAGTTTATGACTTTCTAATGCAGGATACATGTTTACAAGTTTGATGTGCTCCGTTTGTCATTTTAAACGCATAATAGGCTACCAGTTTAACTATTTGAAGTGGTGCGTCTGTAATTATATAGGCCTACAATAGGTCATATAGCCTGCTGCTATAATAAATCAACATGTTGATGTCGTTTATTGGATAGCAATTTGCAGCACTAAATTAGGAATTCTCTACTGTTGGTGCAACAGATAAGTGGGCTATTGCGTCAGTAATGTTTCAGCACTGGACAGCGACCAGACTTTAAGGATCTGGCAATAGAGTATCCGAGATTAGGGTAACCTTTTCAGTCATTGAATAATATGCAATGTATATATTATATTATTATATTATTTCGATTGTTTTGGGTGGATTTTAAAATATAGGCCTAAATAACATCGCCTATCCTGTTATCCTAAACTACATTGACATTTTCTTTGATTTTCCTCAGTTGCTTCTGAATGATAGACTTTGCCTAAGTCGTTAAGGCTCTCACAAAAATGGTATTGACTGATGCAAAACTGGTGATTTGTTCTGGCTGACTTGTAGGCATGGCCCGTTTGGCAATATTTAAGTAGCATATTTTTACAGTAAGATATTGGATACATCTTGTTCAGTAACTTTGGAGTGTTACTGTAGTTTTTGTGAAAATACTCAATGTGTCGCTGTTCACCTTCTCTGGGTGAATGAATGCTTGTGTCCCCACCCAGTAGATTAACAAATACGGGGAGGAGACTTGTTTCGGCAGTGGGGAAAAAAACAACGCAATGACTAGTTTCAACATATTCCATATTCTTGCTTAGACAGAATATCGGAACTTGGACTACAATTTTTTTATGGCATAACGAATTCTGTAAATCACCAACTTAAGGATAGGAACGCTCCCAAGTTAACGATGGTGGATACAATATTTTTGGTCTCTGCCTCCGTTCTCTCCTCTGTTTTCTTTCTTGTTCTGCCTGACACCACGCATGGAGACATGAGCTACTCTTCACCCGAGGAAGCTAAGCGTGGATTTATCATTGGAAATATAGCCAAGGATCTCGGGCTGGATGCGAAGAGATTCTCTGATCGCAAAGCTCGGTTGGATATGGATGGCATCAGCCAACGTTATTGTGACATCGACCTCGCGGCTGGCAATCTTATTGTGACGGATAGAATAGATAGAGAGGAGCTGTGTGGTTCGAAGATTACTTGTGCATTAAAATATGAGCTTGTGCTTGAAAACCCTCTGGAGCTGCATCGTATTACTGTGCAAATTCAAGACGTAAACGACAATTCACCTCGATTCCCTAATGAACGCATGGATCTAGAAATAAGGGAATCGGCTGACAAAGGGGAACGTTTTCCCTTAGACGAAGCCCATGATTCGGACATAGGATTAAACACGGTGCAAAGCTATACGCTCGACAAGAATGAACATTTCGTTTTGGCCGTTCATACAAATAGAGACGGTGGGAAATACAGTGAGTTAGTGTTAGAGAAAGAGCTGGATCGAGAAAAGCAAGAGGAGGTGACATTGTTACTTACTGCGGTTGACGGTGGGTCTCCACAGAGATCTGGTACTGTTGCTATACACGTCACTGTGTTGGATACTAACGATAATATTCCAGTGTTTAGTCAGGATGTTTATAGAGTCAGTCTACCCGAAAATCCCCCTTTAGATACTGTAGTGGTAACTGTCAGCGCCACTGACTTAGATAAGGGGGCAAATGGGGAAGTGACGTATGACTTCAGTAGTATATCTGATAAAGCATCGACGGTGTTTTCTATAGATAAAGGGACTGGTGTAATCAGAGTAGTCGGACCTGTGGACTTTGAGGAGAGGACAGATTATGAAATGCGCGTCCAAGCCAAAGATGGGTCAGGTTTAGCTTCTAACACAAAGGTAATCATAGATATAAACCGATATAAATGATAATGCACCAGTGATATTCATTAAGTCACTTAGCAATCCCATCCCCTGAGAACGTGTTACTTGGTACAGAGGTGGGCATCATTAATGTACAGGATAAAGACTCTGAGGGAAATAGACAGGTCCGCTGCTCCATTCAACAAAATGTCCCTTTCAAATTAAACCCCTCAATCAAAAACTATTATTCTCTGGTAACAACTAGTGAACTAGACCGTGAGATAATATCAGATTATAACATAACTGTCACTGCCACTGACGAGGGGTTTCCACCTTTATCCTCCTCAACGACTATTCATGTATCTGTGTCAGACGTGAATGACAACCCACCTGTGTTTGAAGAACAATCCTACAGCTCCTACGTGACTGAAAATAACAAGCCTGGCTCCTCTATGTGTTCCGTTACTGCCAGAGACCCAGACTGGAGACAGAACGGCACAGTGGTCTATTCTTTATTGCCCAGTGAGGTCAACGGTGTTCCGGTGTCCTCATTTTTATCCATCAACGGAGAAACGGGGGTGATCCATGCTGCGAGAGCATTTGATTATGAGCTGTTTAGGAGCTTCAAAGTCCACGTTGTAGCGAAAGACAATGGTTCACCTCCACTCAGCAGTAACGTGACTGTGAGTGTCTTCATAACAGATGAGAATGATAACTCTCCACAGATATTATACCCTGATCCAGCAGGAAACTCCTTGATGACTGAGATGGTCCCCAAAGCTGCTCTGGCGGGGTCCCTTGTTTCCAAGGTGATAGCTGTGGATGCTGACTCTGGACAGAACGCGTGGCTTTTATATCAGATTGTGAAATCGACTGATCCTGGACTTTTCACTATTGGTCTCCACAGTGGCGAGATCAGGTCACAGCGGGACATTTCTGAATCTGACAGTATGAAGCAGAACCTTGTTATATCAGTGACAGATAACGGACAGCCCTCTCTCTATACAACCTGTGATGTATATTTACTCATATCAGATAGCTTGGCTGAAGTTCCAGAACTGAAAGACATGGCTTATGAGGACAGTTCGAAGCTAACTTCCTATTTGATCATCGCACTGGTCTCGGTTTCCACCTTTTTCCTGACTTTCATTATTCTCATCCTGGCCGTGAGGTTCTGTCGTAGGAGAAAGCCTAGAATGTTGTTTGATGGAGCAGTTGCCATTCCCAGTGCGTATTTCCCTCCCAACTATGCAGAGGTGGATGGAGCTGGAACTCTGCGTAGTTCTTACAATTATGATGCATATCTGACAACGGGCTCACGCACCAAGTGACTTCAAGTTTGTCAGATCTTACAATGACAGCACGCTGCATGCTGATCTTACACTGAAGAGGAGCCCAGATAAGTTATTTGAAGGGAGTATCATCACTCTCAACACTGCAGGAGACTCTGAGGTAACCCATGCCTTTAATTAGCATTTTATTTTTGAAACAAAATATTACTCATTTGCTTCTTGGCAATAACAATCTTCCGAACGTGAAAAAGTCCTAACGCTATGTTTTAATAGCAGGTGGTATATTAAAGTGAGCAAAACAGCAGTAGTATTCTCTTCTAGTATGAGATTATGGTGCAACATGAAGTAATCTGAAGAGTATGCAGCTACAGTTCTTGTATTGTTTTGAATGTATTTATAATTTGTCATGGCGACTTCTAGGCTGTTCTTTCGTATCTTGGATAAATAGACTCCAAAATTAAAATCAGCTTATGTCTTCTATTCCGCCTGTAGCCTACTGCTACATACAGGCAACTTGCTCACGCAATTTGATACCACTTCCAGTGAAATATTATCAATATATAATACTGAATATTATCAAAGTGGCATATTCTCCTACAGATGTAGGATCTTAATTTGAGCCAGTTTGCTACAGCAGGAAAATAATCCTGAAGCAAGAGGACATTTAGATTATTATGTGGGTTATAATTAATGGACATTTTTGTCGGGGTTGATACATGTTTTGTTAGGGAAAATCAAGTCTAAAATGTCAAAGTGGAAATTACAAACTTCAGAAGCCTTTTTAAACCTCAAATGTACTACACGTTTTACATTTCCTGCATTGGTGATCAAATTAAGACCCTACATCTGTATTGCTGTACCCGAGTTTTTCTGCTTCTGCTAAATTTAAGTTGGTCAATTATTTCAATATATTCTGTTTCAGTGTTCATTGCAGTGTAGCCTACAGGACTTAAATTTATAGATTCACACGCTGAAAATACAAATCACATCGCCTTCCAATTCTGATGAAGCTATGCTAGCACTGTTTCAGCACCACACCCATAGACAGCGCAACTGAGAAGCCTGTTTCTCAGTGAAAAAGGCAAAGCTGCAAGTGCTCATTCTCCACCTATACGTCTTTGAAACAGGTTTCCGCCAATACTTAAGTTAACCTAGATATATTTTGGATGCTATGTTTGAAATAGAAAAATACAAAAATGTTCCCCAATTGTATGCTACTTCCGCGCATTCACATTCACACTTTCTATGAAAACAGTCTAGCTTGAACTTCATGGGGGATTATGAATTTAAGAGGTTTATTTGGATGCAATTTATTGTAGTCTTCATTGAAATACTCTAAGTGTCGCTGTTCACTATATATTGGCCGATAGGCACATCTATCCGCCTATCCACGCATAGAAAAGGAGGAGATATAGGCCTACTTTGGTCAGTGTGACAAACCATCGTCTCGATTAGACAGATGCTTAGCGTGTATCGTCGGCTATTCCACACCTTAACCGAGCAAATGTTTCATTTTGAGGGCTGAACAATATATTTACCACGATTCTTAGTTGGACTACTTGTGTCATTTGAGAAGATGGAGTACATCGGATTATCATTGTCTGTTTCGACGTTCGGTCTGATTTTCCTTATTTTCATGGTGTGCACGAGCTATTGGGGATATGATCTATTCTATTCCGGAGGAGATGAAACGCGGATCTGTGATCGCGAATATAGGCAATGACCTCGGTCTCGATGCGAGAATATTTTCATCTCGCAAGGCTCGTTTGGATATGGATGGAAGTCGTCAACGTTGCTGTGACATTAATCTGAATACTGGAGATTTAGTTGTGGCTGAAACAATAGACAGGGAGGAGTTGTGTGGACCGAAGGTTTCTTGTACCTTGAAATACGAGCTTGTGTTGGAGAACCCTCTGGAATTACATCGTATTCATGTGCAAGTCCAAGATATAAATGATAACACCCCGACATTTTCTAACACTCAAATTAATCTAGAAATCCATGAGTCTGCCGTTAGAGGAACACGTTACCTTCTTAGCGAAGCCCATGATGCGGATATAGGACACAATGCAGTTCAAAAATATTCACTCGAAACAAACAACTATTTTGTTTTAGGTGTTCATACAAACCCAGATGGTGGAAAATACGGTGAGTTAGTTTTAGAGAAGGAATTAGATCGAGAACAACAGCAGGAGGTGACATTGATACTTACTGCGGTTGACGGTGGGAACTCCACAGAGATCTGGTACTGTAGTTATACACGTTACGGTTCTAGACGCTAACGATAATATTCCAGTGTTTACTCAGAACGCCTATAAGGTCAGTCTACCTGAAAATTCTCCATTAGGTACCGTAGTAAGTACAGTGACTGCTATTGATGCAGACGAGGGACCTAATGGCGATGTGACCTATGAACTCAGTCGTATAAGTAACAAAGCAGGGAAGCTGTTTTCGATTAACAAGACAACTGGAGAAATAAAAGTAATCGGCCCTATTGATTTCGAAGACGAAACATATTATGAAATGAGCGTGCAGGCAAAAGATGGTTTAGGGTCAGCCTCAAATTGTAAAGTTACTATAGAAATCACAAATGTGAATGATAATGCACCAATAATATTGATCAAATCGCTTAGCAATCCCATCCCTGAGAATGTGTTACCTGGTACAGAGGTGGGCATCATTAATGTACAGGATATAGACTCGGAGGGAAATAGACAGGTCCGCTGTGCCATTCAACAAAATGTTCCTTTCAAACTTAACCCTTCTATTAAAAAATATTATTCTCTGGTAACAACAGCAGAACTAGACCGTGAGATAATATCAGATTATAACATAACTATCACTGCCACTGACGAGGGGTCTCCACCTTTATCCTCCTCAAAGACTATTCATTTATCTGTGTCAGACGTGAATGACAATCCCACCTGTGTTTGAAGAACAATCCTACAGCTCCTATGTAACTGAAAATAACAAGCCTGGCTCCTCTATGTGTTATGTTACCGCCAGAGACCCAGACTGGAGACAGAACGGCACAGTGGTTTATTCTCTATTGCCCAGTGAGGTCAACGGTTTTCCGGTGTCCTCATTTCTATCCATCAACGGAGACACGGGGGTGATCCATACTGTGAGAGCATTTGATTATGAGCTGTTTAGGAGCTTCAAAGTCCACGTTGTAGCCAGAGACAATGGTTCTCCTCCACTCAGCAGAAACGTGACTGTGAGTGTCTTCATAACAGATGAGAATGATAACTCTGCCCAGATATTATACCCTGCTCCAGCAGGGAACTCCTTGATGACTGAGATGGTCCCCAAAGCTGCTCTGGCGGGGTCCCTTGTTTCCAAAGTGATAGCTGTAGATGCTGACTCTGGACAGAATGCGTGGCTTTCATATCAGATCGTGAAATCGACTGATCCAGGACTTTTCACGATTGGTCTCCACAGTGGAGAGATCAGGGCACAGCGGGACATTTCTGAATCTGACAGTATGAAGCAGAACCTTGTTATATCAGTGAAAGATAACGGACAGCCCTCTCTCTCTACAACCTGTGATATGTATTTACTCATATCAGACAACTTGGCTGAAGTTCCAGAACTGAAAGACATGGCTGATGAGGATAGTTCCAAACTAACTTCCTATCTGATCATTGCACTGGTCTCTGTCTCCACCTTTTTTCTGACTTTCATTATTCTCATCCTGGCTGTGAGGTTCTGTCGTAGGAGAAAGCCTAGAATGATGTTTGATGGAGCAGTCGCCATTCCCAGCGCATATTTCCCTCCCAACTATGCAGAGGTGGACGGAGCTGGAACTCTGCGTAGTTCTTACAATTATGATGCATACCTGACAACGGGCTCACGCACCAGTGACTTCAATTTTGTCAGATCTTACAATGACATCACGCTGCCTTCTGATCTTACACTTAAGAGGAGTCAAGTTGAATGTTTCGGGAGAAAGTATAATCAATCTAAACGACGCAGGGGATATTGAGGTGAGATTATAAGCCTATTTTGGGTATTGATTGCCCATTTACTTTATGAAACAACTATTGATCGTGTCCACAAGCCTGTCAGATATTTCAATTTAATCGCTGTGCTGGCTCATCAGACACGGCAAGGTTTGTAAATTGACTGAATTCAGGAGTTTCCACTGCTAATATGTGCTTTCCAAAACCTACGGATTTGGCCAGAGTTTAATCGCTTTCAAACAATTTTACTCAAGTATCTAATTCCAGGGCAGGGTGCCATACCTACAGACTTCTTTGATTACTTGTTTAATGCATGATACATGTTTACAATTACAACTTTGAAGTGCTTTGTTTGTCATTTTAAATTACCTATTAACTATTTGAAGTTTTCTGTCTCTGTAAAAAGATAGGCTAGGTCTAAGGCTGCTGCTTTAAGTCAACATGTTTGTGGTTTGTTGGATAGCAATTTGCAGCAGTACATGTTATTCTCTCCCTAACGTTTGGTGTGACAGATAAGTAAGTGGGCTATAGCGTCGGCCCTGTTTCAGCACTGGACAGCGACCATACATTCAGTATCTGGCAATAGAGTATCCAAGATGAGGGTACCCTTTTCAGTCAATGACTATTTTGATTGATTTTGGGTGATGTTTTTTATATAAATTACCAAAGTCTTGATAATGAACAACTGTTTTTTAATAATAAGATTTGAGAAGTTTTACAATATTGGCCTAAATAATATAGCCTGTCCTGTTATCCTAAACTTCCGTGACATTTTCTTTGGTTTTCCTCAGTTTCTTCTGAATGATAGATAGACATTGTCTAGGTGGTTAAGGCTATAAGACATTTTTTATTGACTGATTCAAAACTGGTGATTTGTTCTATCTATAAACTGCAGTGTAGGCATGCCTGTATGGCAATATTTAAGTATAGCACATTTCACAGTAAGATATTGAATGAATCTTGTTCAATGTACTGTATATTCAGTAACTTCGTAGTGTGACTGCAGTTTTTGTGAAAATACTCAATGTGTCGCTGTTCACCTTCTCTGGGTGAATGAATGCTTGTGTCCCCACCCAGTAGATTAACATATACAGGGAGGAGATTTGTTTCGGCAGTGGGGAAAAACGTCGCATTGACTGGTTTCAACATTTATCGTTGCTTGGACAGAATTAGGATTGTAACGTTGGCTACGTATTTTGTGGCATAACGAATTTGGTAAATCACCATCTTAAGGATAGGAATATCAAACGTTCCAAAGTTGATGATGGTGGTCAAAATATTTCTGGTCTCTGCCTTCAAGCTCTGCTTGGTTTTCTTTCTTGTTCTCCCTCACACCACACATGGAGACACGAGCTACTCTTCACCCGAGGAAGCTAAGCGTGGATTTATCATTGGGAATATAGCCAAGGATCTCGGACTGGATGCGAAGAGATTATCTGATCGCAAAGCTCGGTTGGATATGGATGGCATCAGCAAACGTTATTGTGACATCGACCTCGCTGCGGGCAACCTTATTGTGACGGATAGAATAGATAGAGAGGAGCTGTGTGGTTCGAAGCTTACGTGTGCACTAAAATATGAACTTGTGGTTGAAAACCCTCTCGAGCTTCATCATATCACTGTGCAAATTCAAGACGTAAACGATAACTCACCTCGATTTCCCAATGAGCGCATGGATCTAGAAATTACAGAATCGGCTGATAAAGGTCGACGTTTTCCAGTAGACGAAGCGCATGATGCAGATGTAGGATTAAACTCAGTGCAAAGCTATACGCTCGAGAGGAATGACTTTTTTGATTTGGCTGTTCATACAAATAGAGACGGTGGGAAACACGGTGAGTTAGTGTTAGAGAAAGAACTGGATCGAGAAAAGCAAGAGGAGGTGACATTGTTACTTACTGCGGTTGACGGTGGGTCTCCACATAGATCTGGTACTGTTGCTATACACGTCACTGTGTTGGATACTAATGATAATATTCCAGTGTTTAGTCAGGATGTTTATAGAGTCAGTCTACCCGAAAATCCCCCTTTAGATACTGTAGTGGTAACTGTCAGCGCCACTGACGCAGATAAGGGTGCAAATGGGGAAGTGACGTATGACTTCAGTACTATATCTGATAAAGCATCATCGATTTTTTCTATAGACAAAGGGACTGGTGTAATTAGAGTAGTCGGACCTGTGGACTTTGAGGAGAGGACAGATTATGAAATGCGTGTCCAAGCCAAAGATTGGATCAGGCTTAGCTTCTAACACAAAAGTAATCATAGATATAACCGACATAAATGACAACGCACCAGTAATATTCATCAAATCACTTAGCAATCCTATCCCCGAGAACGTGTTACTTGGTACAGAGGTGGGGATCATTAATGTACAGGATAAAGACTCGGAGGGAAATAGACAGGTCCGCTGCTCCATTCAACAAAATGTCCCTTTCAAATTAAACCCGTCTATCAAAAACTACTATTCTCTGATAACAACAGGTGAATTAGACCGTGAGATAATATCAGATTATAACATAACTATCACTGCCACTGACGAGGGGTCTCCACCTTTATCCTCCTCAAAGACTATTCATTTATCTGTATCAGACGTGAATGACAACCCACCTGCGTTTGAAGAACAATCCTACAGCACATATGTGACTGAAAATAACAAGCCTGGCTCCTCTATGTGTTCTGTTACCGCCAGAGACCCAGACTGGAGACAGAACGGCACAGTGGTCTATTCTCTATTGCCCAGTGAGGTCAACGGTGTTCCGGTGTCCTCATTTTTATCCATCAATGGAGACACGGGGGTGATCCATGCTGTGAGAGCATTTGATTATGAGCAATTTAGGAGTTTCAAAGTCCACGTTGTAGCGAGAGACAATGGTTCTCCTCCACTCAGCAGTAACGTGACAGTGAGTGTCTTCATAACAGATGAGAATGATAACTCTCCCCATATATTATACCCTGCTCCAGCAGGGAACTCCTTGATGACTGAGCTCGTCCCCAAAGGTGCTCTGGCGGGTTCACTGGTTTCCAAAGTGATAGCTGTAGATGCTGACTCTGGACTCTGGACTTTCATATCAGATCGTGAAATCGACTGATTCTGGACTTTTCATTATTGGTCTCCACAGCGGAGAGATCAGGGCACAGCGGGACATTTCTGAATCTGACAGTATGAAGCAGAACCTTGTTATATCAGTATAAGATAACGGACATTCCTCTCTCTCTACAACCTCTAATGTATATTTACTCATATCAGACAACTTGGCTGAAGTTCCGGAGTTAAAAGACATGGCCTATGAGGACAGTTCCAAGCTAACTTCCTATTTGATCATTGCACTGGTCTCTGTTTCCACCTTTTTTCTGTCTTTCATTATTCTCATCCTGGCGGTGAGGTTCTGTCGTAGGAGAAAGCCTACAATGTTGTTTGATGGAGCAGTCGCCATTCCCAGCGCGTATTTCCCTCCCAACTATGCAGAGGTCGATGGAGCTGGAACTTTACGCAGTTCTTACAATTATGACGCATACCTGACAACGGGCTCACGCACCAGTGACTTCAAGTTTGTCAGATCTTACAATGACAGCACGCTGCCTGCTGTTCGTACACTGAAGAAACCAGCTGAGCCTATTGGCGAAAGTATAATTACTCTGAACAGTGCAGAAAATTGTGATGAGGTAAGATAACAGTGGCCTGAAAAAATTTATTGAGTTATCACATTTAAATATGAGTTGGAACATCAATTTTAAGGCATGGTAGGCTTGGCATAGCCAATTTAATTCAATACATTTCAACAGTTTCAGTTTGTTTACTTTGTGCCATCATTGGTTTTGCTCCTCGCTCTTATAAGAACTCTGTCCATGAAAATCAGTGCAGCACTCTTAAATAATTTCTGGGCATAGTGAAACTTGAATGGGTAGCCAAAGGTTCTAAATATTTGCTAACAGTTTCTTTCTTTCTTTCTTTCTTTCTTTCTTTCTTTCTTTCTTTCTTTCTTTCTTTCTTTCTTTCTTTCTTTCTTTCTTTCTTTCTTTCTTTCTTTCTTTCTTTCTTTCCTTCTTTCTTTCTTTCTTTCTTTCTTTTGTGTGGTGTCGACACAACATTTAAGAGATCATATGGCAGCCGTCCGCCCTTTCGAGGTCGTTGGTGTTTCAGCACCACTATTGTGGATAACCCCCACCATTCTGCAGGCTTCTGCAATGGAATGACTAAAGCTATCTATAGTTTAACCTTTTCTGATCTTAGGTTTTTCTAAGGAACATCATCAGGGATTTTTACCGTTTGAAATCATTATTTAATTAGATTTGTATTTATTTTACATATCATTCAACGTTTAATGCAGTGTTTCTTTTTTTCTTTACGAATCTTTTTCCGTTTTAAACCCAGAGCATACAGACGTTTATAACATAAGGATTTACTTAAGACTATACAGTGAATATAGATTTGATTTATTATCACGTTTGTTTGCTTCAGTTACCCTGCTGCTGTTTTTGGAATTCTTCTTGATATTTTCCAACTTCTCTCGAAATCCTCTGTAATCCTATAGCGGATCTTATGATAGCAGGCTACCTCTGACTTTGATTGTTCACTATAATATACATCTTATGAAGTGTAGGCTATCGATTGTTTCATCAATTGTTAAACATTGAGAAATGGGCCTTTAAGCTCCCTGCGCACCAACACCACACCTTTTTTGGCCCGTTTATTTATTTGTTTTGAGTAAGTAACTGTAGTGTTGAAATAAATACTCAGTGTGTCGCTATATACCAACCGTGAACTGATATATGTATCTCTCCTCCCACAACTGTAATATTCAAAAGCAAGAAAACGCCCTACTGAGTCACATACTATCCCAGGAGAAAATGGATGTATGCTCTGCTTCTTTTCTCTTCGTATAGCCAACAGTTTGAATCATTATTCATCACGAACAACTGGACTATTCTGTGCATTATCTCTGTCTTCCAGGCATATGTCGATAATGGGACACAACGGTTTCTCGGTCTCAATACTCTGTGTGACACTGCTAGCTCTGTCCAAACTGCACCCTAGCCATGGAGATATAAGCTACTCTATTCCGGAGGAGCTGAAACGTGGATCTGTGATCGGAAATATAGCCAAGGATCTGGGGCTGGATGCTAAGAGATTGTCGGCTCGTGACGCTAGGTTAGACGTGGATGGCAGCAGTCGACGCTACTGTGATTTCAACGCTAACTCGGGGGATTTGATTGTCGCTGAAACAATAGATAGAGAAGAGCTGTGTGGTCCAAGGGTTTCGTGCGCTTTGAAATACGAGCTGGTGCTTGAAAATCCTTTAGAGTTACACCGTATTACTGTTCAAATCCAGGATATAAATGACAATTCACCTCTATTTACAAGTGAACACATACAATTAGAGATACTAGAGTCGGCTGTGAAAGGGCAACGTTTTCCCTTAAACGATGCCCATGACGCAGACATTGGATTAAACGCAGTTCAAAGCTATACGCTGGAGAGGAATGACCATTTTGTTTTGGCTGTTCATACAAATAGAGACGGTGGGAAATATGGGGAGTTAGTGTTAGAGAAGGAATTAGATCGAGAACAACAACAGGAGGTAACATTATTACTTACTGCTGTTGATGGTGGGACTCCACAGAGATCTGGTACTGTAGTTATACACGTTACTGTGCTGGATGCTAACGATAATATTCCAGTGTTTAGTCAGGACGCCTATAAGGTCAATATACCAGAAAATTCTCCTTTGGATACCGTAGTAGCTACAGTTAGTGCCACTGATGCTGACGAGGGACAAAATGGGGAAGTAAGCTATGCTTTCAGTCGAATATCTGATAAAGCAGCGAGGATATTTTCCATTGAAAAGAAGACTGGAAAAATTAAAGTAATTGGACCAATAGATTTCGAAGTGGAAACATATTATGAAATGCGTATCCAGGCGCTTGACGGATCAGGGTTGGTTTCCAACACAAAAGTAATTGTCGAAATCACAGATATAAATGACAATGCACCTGTGATATTCCTAAAATCTATGAAAAATCCCATCCCTGAGAATGTGTTACCTGGCACAGAGGTGGGCATCATTAATGTACAGGATAAAGACTCTGAGGGAAATAGACAGGTCCGCTGCTCCATTCAACAAAATGTTCCTTTCAAACTGAACCCCTCAATCAAAAACTACTATTCTCTGATAACAACTAGTGAATTAGACCGTGAGATGATATCAGATTATAACATAACTATCACTGCCACTGACGAGGGGTATCCACCTTTATCCTCCTCAAAGACTATTCGTTTATCTGTATCAGACGTGAATGACAACCATCCTGTGTTTGAAGAACAATCCTACAGCGCCTATGTGACTGAAAATAACAAGCCTGGCTCCTCAATGTGTTCTGTTACCGCCAGAGACCCAGACTGGAGACAGAACGGCACAGTGGTCTATTCTCTATTGCCCAGTGAGGTCAACGGTGTTCCGGTGTCCTCATTTTTATCCATCAACGGAGACACAGGGGTGATCCATGCTGTGAGAGCATTTGATTATGAGCAGTTTAGGGGCTTCAAAGTCCACGTTGTAGCGAGAGACAATGGTTCTCCTCCACTCAGCAGTAACGTGACTGTGAGTGTCTTCATAACAGATGAGAATGATAACTCTCCCCAGATATTATACCCTGCTCCAGCAGGAAACTCCTTGATGACTGAGATGGTCCCCAAAGCTGCTCTGGCGTGGTCACTGGTTTCCAAGGTGATAGCTGTGGATGCTGACTCTGGACAGAATGCGTGGCTTTCATATCAGATCTTGAAATCGACTGATCCAGGACTTTTCACGATTGGTCTCCACAGCGGAGAGATCAGGGCACAGCGGGACATTTCTGAATCTGACAGTATGAAGCAGAACCTTGTTATATCAGTGAAAGATAACGGACAGCCCTCTCTCTCTACAACCTGTGATGTCTATTTACTCATATCAGACAACTTGGCTGAAGTTCCAGAACTGAAAGACATGGCTTATGAGGATAGTTCCAAACTAACTTCCTATCTGATCATTGCACTGGTCTCTGTCTCCACCTTTTTCCTGACTTCATTATTCTCATCCTGGCCGTGAGGTTCTGTCGTAGGAGAAAGCCTAGAATGTTGTTTGATGGAGCAGTCGCCATTCCCAGTGCCTATTTCCCTCCCAACTATGCAGAGGTGGATGGAGCTGGAACTCTCCGTAGTTCTTACAATTATGATGCATACATGACAACCGGATCACGCACCAGTGACTTCAAGTTCGTCAGATCTTACAATGACAGCACACTGCCTGCTGATTTAACACTAAGGAAGAGCCCAGATGAAACCAGTGAAGCTATTGAGAGTGGATCAAAATATTCAACTATGGTAATGGGAAACATTTCCAATGAAAAGTGTTGTTCTGGGGTAGAGCAGCGGTGGGATGTGGGAGAGAAGAAATGTATATTTTTTTGGTCCGCTTGCATGTTACTGTGTGTGATGATCCATACTAGAACTCCTTCATCCAGTGCCTTTGGCTGGTGGTGGTGGAGGGGAGGTCTATGATCACTGAAAACAACAGAGAATCATAGTTCACGTTCATGTTCCTTCATTTGACACCTGAGGCGACCCCTGGGTTAGTCATCCTGGCATTCCATATCACCTGTTTTCACACTGATCTTGAGTCAGAAGAGGTTCAAGACTCATTCTGGAGATGGACTCAATTGTTTCAAATGTAGATTTTTTAACTATTGTTGAATGCAAATCAGGCAGGAGTAATTGTCATACTTTTGCCTGAATATTTGTTCTGCCATGAAAACATAAGACACTTTATAAAGTAAGCTAACTGTGGAATACATCTTTAATATCTAACTGTGTGAATGCCATTTCTTTTTCAGGAAAATCTTGCTGGTGATAGTTGTGCACGTTTCTATGTATTTGACAACCAAGGCAAGCTTTTCCGCTCTGGTCTCTAGCAGAGTCACTCAGAGTTGAACTTTTCGCCCAGATAATGGCACCTTTCAAGTACATAATGAAGAAGATATTCCCGCCAAGAAAGACTATTTGTCACTCAAAACCAGCCTCCTCTTGCACTCCTCTGTGTATAGTGAGCACAGAGAAGGTGACACTATGGCTTAAAAGTGGCACAAGCCTACAGCTTTTAGTCCCAATGGAGAGAATAAACCATGTATTCATATTCCTTTGGCAGGAGTATGAATACATGCATTCTGTTACATCATAGCAGCTTTTTTACTAAAAGTAGTAATGTAGCTGCTTTAAGGGGTCTGGAAGAGGAGATGTTAATGAAATGCTGAACACCATTCTGCTATAGGTCATTCTTCTTGTAAATGTGTGAAATTAAACACAAATGGGACACAGCATTTAAACCTGTTATGTTTTAACACTTTTATTTAATTTGTTTCTTGTTTTTTCATGCTCTCCCATTGGACCATTATTTTGGCATCTGAAGGTAAGATATATTTTTTCTTCTTCTTTACCTGTAGAGACATAGAAATTAGGGTCTCCCACAGTATTGGGTGGCTCGTACAGTTACAAGGGTTGACATGATACAGTACTGACTTGTATCACGGTTGACCTGGCTGAGTATTCAATCAATTGCAGGTTGATTGAATACAGGCCTTACTGTGTAACTCTTTTCATGATTGCCTGTCTATCTGTCAGTGGTTACCTCTCTTTCTTCAACATTGACTGTTGTCCATTGACCATTGACCATCTCAAGCACACTGCTGACAACCCAATACAACCCAGTACTAACACACTTTACCATTAGCACGCATCACAGCAGTGCATGATATTCCTCACTATAAACACAGACCATTGTATTGAAGAGACAGCCCAATAGTGGCCCACAAAGCAAAATCACTCACGCGCAGCCTACCAGTAACACAGAGTGTACAGCACGCTGAACTTCACACAGCTCAGCACTGCACACACACACACACACACACAAACACACACACACACACACACACACACACACACACACACACTGCAGCAAGACTACTCTGCTCAGCACTGGCACACAATTCTAAAGTAGGTTCTAAAGTAGGTCAGGATAATTATTGATGTAGCTCCTCAGCCCTACATATCTGCTCAAAGATATCTCTTATTCATTTAATTCTTCTTCATCTGAACGGAAGGCCTATCTCTTTCTGTGCGCATAACTATATAACCCATTGGTCTATGATATATAACAATGAATGCCATAATATATTTTGTATAAAGATCTGGTAACGGATGTTTCAATTATATGATATTGAAAGAGGTGTATCATGTCTGCCGTGATTGCGATTGTGGTGTATAGACATGCCTCCGTAGGTGTCAATGGCCATGGGACATAAAGGAATGTAGAGGGTCATATCTGTGCGGTGTTGAGTGTGCAACTCTGCAGCAGGATGTGTGTAGATTGTTTTGGGCACGTGTGGAGGTTGTGTTTTGGATATAGGGCTTCATGCGTCACTGCTTTGACACACTGTCTGTCTCATCCTGTGATGACCTCTGACCTTGGTCTGTGGGAGGAGTCCTGTTGGCCTCTCAGTTACATGGAAATAGAGGGGATGAAAAGGTGGATAAAACATTACCTACAGCTGTTCTGATGTTTGAGACTTGCAGTCAGGGTTAAACACGTTGCCATATAGATTTGCTGGTGATCATCTTTTTATTATTTGTATTTGGTGACGGTTACACCATACACCATTTTATTTATTAAATATTATTTGTATTTTTCGGCCTGAAAAGATCTAATTTAGGTGGTTTGCTAGTCTGCCTATCAATTTGGCACTGATGCTCTCCGTGGTGCTGAAATACCAAATGTGCTGCATTCAAAGAGCGGTTTGTGTCTTTGGCTTTGGCTTTTACGGTGTTATTGTAAGTGTTCCAAACACGTTTTCTTTTGTTGTCGTTGTTGCAAGACAGTATTATGACAAGTGTTTATTGACAACATAAAAAGTATTCAAAATGACAATAGTGACAATTGGCAATTG